AATTCCTTCTATTTTAAGAATCCCAAGAATCATTTCGAACATTTTTTCATCTCCTATTCCTTCAAATTTTTCTTTGTTATAGGAATATTTTATCAAAAATAAGCTCAAACAATTCGACAAGATCTAAGGGAACCAAACATCGACCAGTCTTCTGTGATTGCAACCCGTAGTGTGTTGTATTTACGACACATAAAGGTAACAATATTGGAAGAAAATTTTATAGATATCAAAAAAATTTAACAAATAGAGACTACAAACATTTCAGTGGATTGATGAACCGATGGGTGCAATAGAGGAGCAAGACTGTGAGAAGATAAATGCATTTGATGTACGGTGAAGAATGATCTGAATAACTTGAAATTTTTTGTGAAGGTCTTGCTTTTGATTGATTTTGTCATCATAGCATTGTTTTTATTGTTATTGGTGCTGTATCTGTTTTGATGATGTTTATGTCAAAAACTTGATGTTTCTTGTGAAGACTTTATTTTTGTTTGATTTTGTAATTTTGTTGCATTAGGTTTTGAAATCATAATTTTTTAACTCATCTGTTATGCTAAAATGATGTAGATTATGTTTTGGACTTTAATTATGCAACCCAGCAACTGGGACCATTTGATCTATCATAATCTTTTATGATTATGTTGTTGTCAGAAAGCATATTTTGATGATTTCTTATGATTCGATTAATGTTCACCTTAATTTATCATATAGTGTTGTGAGTGAAAATAACTTGATAAATTATCATTGAATTTATTTTACATGAAACACTTTCAAAATTGTATTTTTTAAACAGTTTAAACGGAACTGTGTTTATATACTTAGGAGTACTACAATCATTATATCAATGTTTGATCTGAGCTTGATTTGACTCGAATTAGACTAATTTTTATATCATTGGATTCGTCAGACAATATTTTAATGTGTGTTTTTCAAACAGACCAACTATTTCTGAAACGCCAGTTTCTGAGCAACAAATTTTCAACAGCAGCTTTTGAACCAGCTCTTCTACAGCCACGGCCAAAACAAACACACCCTTAACTCTGTCGCTAAACTTTGTATTTGTAAGCAAATATAAGATTTTCGTGCATACATAGAGACATAATTGTTGATTTTACACAAAAAGGCAAGTAAGCATTTAAAGTGTAGAGCTTAATAATATGCATGTTTCTGAGGTGGGAGCCCATCACTCAAAATTTTCGTGGTATTGTAGTTGCTACAGTACCACGGGAATAGCTACAACGATAGAGGCACCGAAATAACCCATTTTCCTTCTTTATGCTATCTTTCTTATTATCCTTCATTTCTTTTTTGTCCTTTCCTACATATGTAATGTATTAGGGTTTCAAAGCCAATTTTTAATGTGTTTTGTTTAGGATAGTTGTTGGCATCCGTTCTTCTCCCTTCGAGGGCTATATCCCAGGGATTGGGTGGTGCTCCGGTAGTAACCCTCTCCCGAGGTGGTGATTATCTTCCGTATCCCCTATGCATCCCTCTCGCTTTGCTACCTCGCATTCCCCCTCTGCAAGTGTCCCGACAACAATTTTTTTTTGTTTTTCTTCAATTTCCTCGTTGTTTAATCCTTTTATTCGGCGCCCCTGCCCAAGACCGCCTTCCTTTGGCAGTCCGACCTCCCACCAAATCCCCCGTCGCTGTTCCAGCTCTCTATCCTCACTGCTATCGCCTCCAGCCCAACTGCCAACCCAACTGCCATCCTCCTAGCAACCCACACAGTCCTCTCCATCGACTGACGCCCCCTTCCAACCTTCCTCACAGCCTTCACCACCAAATTGCCAATAGCCGCCCAGCTTCCAGCCGCATCCGCGTTGCAGCCACCGTCGTTTCCACCCTTCCCCCTTGCTACCATCAACCCGGACCACCATCATGGATCGTCCTTCAGGTGTCTACTTGTCGTCTGGTCCCAGTGAAACCACTGTCTTGCTGTTTTCTTCTTGTCAACCATCTTTTTCACCCTCACGCCACCTTCCTAACCCTCATTAACCACCACCACCACCTGGGCTCCACTCAAAGTTGTTATTTTCTATTTCAGTATTTTTAATTGTAACTTCTATCTGCTTTTAAATAATAATATCTACTTTCTCTATTATAATTTGGGTTAACTCTGATATAATTTGGTATCAGAGCTAACCTAATCCTAGTCCTATCATTGGGTTTTTAATATCCACCATACCCAAACCTATCTCCACTCAAAATATTTCTTTCTCACCCTACATCACTTTTACAACGCCTCCTTTCACATACCCACACCCAAAACCTAGCAATGCTGCCAAGAATATAATCATCAGAAGCCTGATAGAGGGGAAATGACATGATGTTGTTTATGAGAAATCCACAAAGCGATGTTCAGGGAATTTATAGGGACGATATGCATTCAGAAACCCGCCAACTACAAGTGAGGTGTACCACTTTCGAGAATGAGGCAATACAATGGGTCACCCATTGCTACAATGATGATTTGCTAGATCAGAGGGATGGAGTGAACCTCTTCCATCATGTAAATTCCAGGGATGAAAAACCTCTACCTTGAAGATGTGACCTGAAATATCGAAGAAGTTAGAATTTTGAAATAAAGGTGAATTTTCCATACCTCAATGACCACATGAATCCAGACAAGGTTATCGAGTGGCTCTAAACATTGGAATGGTTCTTCAAGTGTCAGGACGTCCGATCGAACAAAGTGGTGAAATTAGCCGCCAGCAAGTTAAAGAAGAGTGGATTATTTTAGTGGCCAGCGAGAAGGAAAAGATAAAACAACTACATGATCTAAGATGAAACGAGAGATGTAGTCTCAGTTCCTACTATCTCACTACATACTAGATGTTCAGACCAAAGCTTCAAAGGTAGAGAGACCATATCACCGAGCGACCACCACAACAACTTAAAGAAAAGGCTCCACCCCAGGATTTTACAGTTAAAGTATACCCAAGTGAACATCCAAGCTGACCCGCCTGAGGAGAAACTAGTTCAAAATTGAGATTAGAGGGAATTAATCCGAATTTCCAAATCCATTCCAGTAAGGAAGTACTTCAAGTGCCACAAATTTGGACATATTGAAGCAAATTGTACAACGAGTATATATATTTCGATGAGAGCGAAGTTGTTGAAGAAAGGGGTAAATGACACAGTAAACACTAAAGAAGATTAGGACACAAATGATGAGTACTAGCTTCCATTTGATGACTAAAAGATGCACATAGTTCCAGCTGAGCCCATTAGAAAGACTCCAACCAAATTAACGGTGATTTTCCAAGATATTTTTTAGGTAGAGGAACCGACACCAAAAGCATGACAACACCATATAAGATAAATTCAAACTTTTCATATCTATAGACTCCTTTCTGGGTTGTCCCTACTGAAGGAGGTCTATTATGTCAGGAATAAGGCCCTTTTGTGCCACGTCTGGAATATTATATGAAATTATTCGGATATTAGATTCAGTTCAGCAGTGTACCCACCATCGGATGTCCATACAGGAGGAATGAACCATAACTTTAAAAATTATCTTTGAAGGTATGTGGGGAAAAAAATCCTCCAAAGGGATCCAAGTCCCTTCAGAGAAGGAGAAGAGACCTCTCATGAGCGGCTATACTTCAGGTGGTCCACTTTATCATAGATTTCATCCCAGAGTTGATTCCTCCTTACAAATTTATTTATCAGATATAGTTGAACAAGTACAAAGAGTGAAAGAAACAAATTACAGATTTAATGGCTCAAGCCTTGATTCGTGTGGATGCTCATCCACGTACAGTTCCAATTATGATTGTACCAAAATATAATGAACACATAGTCTATCAAGATATGCTTTAGAATGCCAACCTTATCGGAAAATTACAATATTTCCACCACCTTCAATGTGGTCGACCTGACACTATACGATGAGGAGACATAAGCCTCATTAGATGAGGTCGAAGCTCCCCCAACCCTGGGAGATTGATGCGGGAGCTCATCGTTAAATTTTTTTTTGATATTGTAGCTGCTACAGTACCGCGGGAATAGGTATGGCGAGAGAGGCACCTAAATAATCCAATTTTCCTTTCTTAAACTTTCTTTCTTACTATCCTTCATTCTTTTTTTAGTTATTTCCTATATATATATATATTATATTAGGGTTTGGAAGTTAGATTTCGTGCGTTTTGTTTAGAACAGTCGTAGGCATCTATTCTTCTTCATTTGAAGGTTGTATCCAAGGGATTAGGTGGTGCTCTAATTTTGTTTCTCTCCCGAGGTAGTGATTATTTTCCCTATCCCCTCCGCATCCCTCCCGCTTTGCTGCCTCGCATTCCTTCTCTTTGCAGGCCGCCCCGATAATAGTTCTTTTTGTTGTTTTCCTGCAGTTCCTCGTTGTCTGGTACTTTTCCTCGCGGCCCCTGCCTAGGACCGTCTTCCATTGGCTGTCTGGAAGCCCACCACATCCCCCGTCGCCTTTCCAGCTCTCCATCCTCATTATTGCCTCTAACCCGTTGCCAACCTTGTTGCCATCCTGGTTGCCATCCTCCCAGGAGCCCACACAACCCTCCCCATTGACTGTCACCCCCTTCTCAACCTATCTCGTAGCCTCCACCACAAGTTGGACAATTGTCGGCCAGCTTCCGGCCGCATCCTCGTTGCAATCGCCATCATTTCCCCCCTTCCCCTTGCTGCCATCAACTCGGACAACCCTCACGCATCGTCCTCCAGATGTCTACTAGCCATCTGACGCTGGGAAAACCGCTGCATTGCTGGTTTCTGCATGCCACCTGTTTTTTCCACCCTCGCGCGACCTTATTAATCCTCATTGACCACCACTACCACCGAGGATCCACCCACGTTGAGAGCTTATGTCGTGTGAGTTGCTATTTTCTATTTTAGTATCTCTGATTGTAACCTCTATTTGTTTTTGAATAATAATATTTGCTTTCACTTGTAACTCCAGTATCAATTTCCAATAATCATAATAAAACCAGCAAAGTTTACTAGTATATAAAAATTAAAAGAAATCATACCTTACAAATAGGACGATGTGGATCTCTCATGTTCACCAACAAATTTTCACACTTCAGATCAAAATGAACTATATTCTTTCCATGCAAATATTCCATGCCAAATGCAACATCCATAGCTATAATCAGTCTTTTCCGCCGATCAATGGTTCTGCTCAAAGAGATTCTTCATAATTAGAGTACTTAAAACCAAGACAGAAAGTAGTCCGTACTTAGACAATACAAGAATTAAAAATAATCCTGAAAATGTAAATAGATAAAACAAGCAACAGCAGAAAATTTAAACATGAACATAATCGCTCATGCAATAAAAACAAAAGGGTACCTATCTTTCTTATGAAGAAACTGCTTAAGAGAGCCGTTCACCATGAATTCTGTCGCTGTTGCTAGGCTTCCATCAGGACCATCACGAACCACACCATAAAAAGATACAACATTGGGATGATGTAGTGAGCTCAGTATCAAAGCTTCCCTCCAGAAATCAGCAATCTGCAAAAGCAAAATAAAAAATTAGCATATTATGAAATAATTCTACTAAAATAGTCCTGTTGAAGTTATTGAGAACTGAAATGAAAATTAAAAAGAGCAAATCTAGAAGACTTCATCGCTTAGTCTTATGCATTTAACTCTGTTCTTTCATCCTGCATGATTATAGTGAGTTTATGGCAGAAAAATTAAACCTCTTGTTCCTAGATCGCATTCCATACACTATTATCCAGGCATACTATGGCTACAAAACTGGTCAGGTTGAACAGGTAATAAATATATACATAACAAAATTCGATTCTAATTTGTACTCGAACATCATCTTTAGTTTTATCGCAATGTTATGTTCATGGATTCAAAGAACCTTCTTATTATTTCCTTCATTTTCTCTATTCAGCTACCTCAAAAAATTATGATTTTCAACTGCCAAGAACCTCAAAATGATTCATCAGATTTTGATACAGCCACATACAAACCCAATACAAACAAAAAAACCACCATATCTTTGAACTTCAACTGTAAGAGATTATATTATCCTATTCTTCAATGCAAAACCTCGGTGATGCTTCGAGTCTATATCAGGTTTTAAAAGCCTCTTCACAGTCGGGCCATATGAATAGATTTTATGATGCCGGATATATGATGTGTTCCCAGCCACAATGTACATAAAAGTGGTCCTTGGCAGAACGATCATATCTAATATGCTGTGTATATCCAACACCATATCGTATAGAAATAAATAAATATCTAGATATATACATTGAACAATCAGATTTTAAAGCAGCCAATTCAAAGCTCTCCTGTCGTTCAATCCACTAAATATTCATCTGATAACTTCTACAATAATGTGGAATTCATTGACAAAACAAGAAATAGTCGCAAAACTTCTACATGATCATGGCATCAGATAAGAAATATAAAACTTCTGATTCAGGTGTGATCTACATTCGAGCAAATATAGTCATTTAATAGTTTAAACCTTGATTTGACCACAGCCAATTTTATCTCTCAAAATTAATATCATCATCATCATCATCATCAACAACAACATCATCAACATAATTGGTGCTGTCCATACAATTTCAGTTAGCTATATGAATCATTATCCATTAACAATTCCCATTGAATGCTATTTGATGTGCTAACTTTATGATGTGCAAATTTTAGCCATTTAGCTTTTGTTATACCTCGATCAGAGAGAGAGAGAGAAAGAAACAAGAGTTGCACCAATAGAAACAAAATAGTGATACATATCTAGGTGATTTAATTAATGTACAAAGGAGGGCAAAAGAATTAACAAGCCACCAATAAAGTGGACAGATACAAGGCAGCTAAAATGTGCCAATAAATACATAGGGTATGTACTCGGTGCATGAATCTTAATATCAATGCACAATGTAAGGAGAGCTAAACTAAAACACTCCTAAAATTTAAATGACTAATATGTTATTTCCAAGATTTGAACCCATGAACTTCATGTCACATGGGGAAGAGCTATCGTTAGTAGCCTTGAGCTTGCTACAAAGACATTATTTCTAAAATTTAAACTCATGAACTTCATTTCACAGTGGGAACTTAATGACAGCTCAAGCCCTGCCCTCTTGAAAATTCATGCATGCTAACATAAATGTTAGCTATTGATCAGAACAAGATGAATGCATTTATGGATGTCCAACCATGCAAATGGATGTCAAGCCATGTAAACATTAAAAAGTACACGAATATCTATCTTAATTTATACATCAAAAATATACTAAAAACTGCAGCATTATATGGCAACACATCAGTAGTATATTGAAGTACTCTTTTGCATATAACTAGTCCAAATGCATACTGTTCACAGGCAACTTGATAATAAACTAATGAAATAAATAATTTGAAGCTAAAGACTTGCATTATATGAACCTAAATACAGTATCAGGATAAAAAACACACAAATACATATCAGCTACTCTGATATTTAAATTCGATATAGATTCAGTTATAGAAGTGAATTTTTTTATTTCCTTATACCATTAGACCACACAAGTGAAAAATTTTTTTCTGGTTTCATCTTCTTGTTACCGGATGCTCTATGGGGGCTGACACCTGCCCAATGCCGGAAGATCAATTTGCAGATTGCTCAATTTTTTAAAAGGCTTTATAAGTAATAAAAAAAACCGTGAAGATGCTAATCTAAGAAAAATAAATAATAAAAACAAAATAATTAGGCTTCATTAGGGTTGAAAATTTGTCGGTGAATGACCCAATAGTTGAATTTTTTAAACAATAATGTTTTTATCTCATTGGATTTGCACAATCTTAGACTACAAATAATGTTCAGAGTAGATTTATTTTGGGATAAGTACTTAAGACTAAACGAAAGATTCAATATTATGGTAACTACATGGAATCAAACAGGTCATACCATAACATTTTAGTAGGGGTAATTTGGACATAGGCTAAAAAAAATCATATAGGAATTGGAGAAACAACTTTAGTTTATGCAAAAATAATATTATTATATAGGTGATATATCTATTAGTCATTTAGTGGAGAAATATATAAAAACAATGAAAGGATCGTCATAAAATATTTACTGAATATAAAAAGGCACGTATGAGTAAAAATCCTATGGCTGTTTTGGTGGGGCAATAAGAAGAAATGATATAAGACAGAAAGTTTACTTAAGGATATGCTTAAAGCAACCATGGAGTTATTAAAAAAACTCCAATCATAACAGGCTTATACCAAAAATTAGTAATAAGCCTGAAATTTTTCTATTAGAGGGAGACATGCTTATGACGCATACTCAAAGTGAGACAACTTGATGTAAGCTATTTATAGATGATCTCTCTTTTGATGCAAATTTGAAGTTAAAAGAGAGAAGAAAATTTTAAATAGAAAGGGTTATACATATTGACGAAACAAAAATGGAGAACAAAATATGCAATTATTTCATTCTAAATTGAAAATTAGAGGTTGATATTATTGAAACACCGAACGAAATTTAGTTGTAATAAGAATATTGAATCTGTTGGATTTGTACAAAAATATTAGATGTAGATGGTAACAAATTTTAGAATTAAAATTGAGTGATAAAAAGATCCTTGTTCCTTTAAAACTTTATAAAACAATAAATAGATTGGTTATACTATATAGATTAGAATGTTAATAGTAAATAAGTCTTTGATATTCAAATCATATTATATAATAAATGCTTGATATCAATGATCTTCTCTCTTTTGTAATAAATAAGCATGCACGTGAGCTACCTTTAACTTATAAAATTAAGCCCGAGATCAAGTTTGAACTCAATTAATTAATCAAGCTCAAGTTAGAGGTGGCTCGAGCTTCACTCGACTCATTTATACTCATAGCCACTGCAGCTACTTCACTAACATTGCTCTTAATGTTGGTACCCTACATCTTCTCTTTTTTTTTCCTACTTTTACAAACTTATTTTGTTCTCATTGATCATTTGCATTTCATAATATTTGTTTTGAATGAAATACTCTCTATTTTTAGGCTTTTAACTTTGGATTTTCAAATGGTTAGAGGTTTTAAAAAAGACTTTAAATGATGGAATGACTTAAAAATGTTAGAAAAATGTATATAGATTACATTTGAAGCAGAAAACTATGATCCAATGGGCTTAGAGGATGTAGAGGAGAGGACCAAGATTACGTCACTAGAAGTCCTCGTTTGGCCGAATGTTATTGGAGAAGTGTGTGGATTGCATGGGGGATGTAGAAGCTAGGAAAAGAACATGGGTGATGAGGAAGGTGCAGGATAAAATGTTGGCGTTGTGGAAGGAATGAGAAGATAGATTAACAATTACCTATAAAAATAATTATGACTTTCACGAAGAAGAATCTTTAGCGAAGCCTGCCACCATGCTCCAACCCAAGAGAAACACTTAACTCAAATTTTTTCTTCAAAATAATAAAACTTCTTTTCCATTCATTCCAACAAGTATTAAAAGAAATATATCAAACTCCAAGTCTTTGAATTCAAAAAAAATAATAATAATAACTTAGCGAGGCAAAGTAAGAAGTGGAGTAAAAGCACTCCAAATCTCCCTCCTCACATGGGATAGTTGACTACTCTTTTAGAAATCTAAATATAAATCTAAGTCTATCTAAAACATAGGAAATGCAATTAAAAACCTCCCACATTGAGAGAAAAAATTAAAATTTTACTTCAAAAATTCAAATGATCTACTTAAATTTTTGCATAAAAAATAATGATGGTATAAGGGTAACCCATTGACAATCTCCACAAAAATACATATTAGACTTGGGCATATAAATGTTCTGATTTAAGTTCTAGATTCTTAGAATTTGAGCCAAACTAATGCCACCATTAAAATGATGAAAATTAAAGTTAAAAGCGATTGAATGATGTTAAAAATTAAGATGCTTTTGAGATATAATCTATTGATAACATTCCCGAACTCTTCAATTTCAAATGCTCTATGATGAAATTAATATACATTAAATTTATATTTTATAGCAATTGTTATTAATAAATTTCCTACAAAATATCCTAAATTAAAAAAAAAACATTTAACAAATTTTGTAATTTTTTAAAAATATAAATTCCTAAAATTGCCTGATTTTAAATACAATTCGATGAATTTAATTTTAATTTCCGTCATTTTTTATATTGGGATCATTTTGGTTTCAATTTCAAGAGGGTTCAATAACTAAATTAAACTCTTTGTATAGTCGAGGACTGACAACCCATAAATAGTTGAGTAACACTTTAGTCTTTTTAACCTACAATATATTTAGATAATATTATTGATGTGTGCTAGAAGATTCACAGCGGTAGGGTAATGGATTATCGTCGTAGTGTTGCACTAGAATTCAACACACACTCAGGTGAAAGAAAACAACCATTAATGACACCAGAAGTTTTTACGTGGAAAAACTCGTAAAGGGAAAAAACCACGGGGTCTGGCCCAGTTGTAAAAATCCACTATAGGTTGATGATTACAACAACTGATTGTCCCACAAACGGGAAATTGTTACTAGATTTTTCAAGTTATAATATCAAATGACGGCTTCCGGTCAGTGGAGGTCGACGACGATTGACAGAAATCAATTACGGTCAACGGCTGTCGACGACGGTCAGTGGTGGTTGATGGCGACAATAGTGCTTGACGGCGGTCCGTGGTTATAGACGACAGTTGGCAATGGTCGACGACAGTCGGCAGTGGGACGGCAATCGACGGGTGTCGACAAGTTTTAAAAATTGCAGTCTACTTGTTTTTGCTTTGCTTTACTATAACAAGTTTTAAAAATTGCTACATTTTCCCTAGTTCTATGGTCTCTCCTGCTTAGATTTTTAGATGTTCTATTGCAATTTAGCTGCTAGATTATATGCCTAATGAAGAAAAATAATTGAGATGACTTAATGACTTATAATTTGAGAATATTATGGTGGTTTGGTGGTCTTTTGTGATGCGACAATTTGGTCAATGATTATTTGAGGTCATTTTCTTAATCTAATCCATATTGGATAATTACTGACAGCTGAGATTCAGCATTGGCATGTTTGAACTGCCACATTTGGTTTTTGTTGGACATTTACAGGAGGATGTACCTTGGTGTATGCTTTTTGCTGATGATATTTCTTCTTGTGGATAAGACGAGACAAAACGCCCAGAAAAAACTTAAACTATGAAGGTCTACATTGGAGTCTAAAGGCCTTCATTTGAGTAGAACTAAAATTGAATACATTGAATGTAATTTTAGTAGTAGTAGCTCTAGTGATAAAAAAGTAACTTTGGGTGATCAAATTATTAAAAGGTGTGAACGATTTAGATATCACGGGTCTGCTGTTCAAAGCGATGGTGATATAGATGGGGATGTTATTAGTAGAATTCAAGTTGGTTGGTTGAAGTGGAGGAATGCTTCGGGCCTTTTGTGTGATAGAAAAGTACCGCTTAGACTGAAAGTAAAATTTTATAAGACGGTGGTGAGACCTGCAATGCTCTATGGTGTTGAATGTTGGCCTTTAAAAGAGAAGCATAGTACTAAGTTAAGTGTTGCTGAGATGAGAATGATTAGGTGAATGAGTGGCTTTACACTTAGAGACAAAATGCGAAATGAATATATCTGTGATAGAGTTGGTGTAGCTCCTATGACTGACAAAATTAGAGAAAGTCATCTTAGATGGTTTGGTCACATTAAGCATCGACCATCTGCTGATCCGATTAGGAGAGTAGATGTTTTAGATTCTACTTATGTTAAGAAAGGAAGAGCTAGACCTAGACCTAGGAAGACTTGGGCTTATTGTATTAAAAATGATCTTAATTTACTAGAACTAAATGAAAATATGACACTAAATAAGACGCAATGGAGAAAAAGGATTCATGTAGCCGACCCCACGTAGTGGGATTAAGGCTTTGTTGTTGTTGTTGTATTGCTTGCTTTTGTAGTGTTGTTATGACCCTAGGATTCGAGTGGAAAGAGTATTTGTTGTTGGTTGTTGCCTTACAGCCTACTACTTTGCTGCTTGACAATTTGTGCATTGTTGGTGCCTTGCTAAGAGCCTACAGGTAGTTGGGCTAAGACCAATATTGGTCAGTTTATCGTCTTGATGTCTTCATCTATACCACCTTACAGTGTATCCTATGTTTCTGTTGTAGTAGAGAATAGAAATTTAAATTCAACTTTGCATGAATTTGTTGGTTTTATTGTAGTTTTCATTTTATAAATTTCAGTCCACAATTCCACAAATTATCTTTGTTTTCAGATAGAATTATAATTATACAATTAATATCTTGTATTTGCGTTATTATTTTTTGAACATTGATGTTTCACAGGCTTTCATATTTCACACCAAAAGCATTGCCTCAGATCTGGCAATGTAATTGGAAAATCAAAAGTACAAAAATTTATGTGATAGAAAGTAATTTATATAATTACAAGTTACTGTAGATTGATTAAAAGTGTGATCTATATTAAGATTGTGACTTAAAAATGCAAGATTTTTCTTAATTTACATTTTTTTTTGTTTCTTCTCATCATTAAATTAAAACTAAAATTTGTAAATTTCTTTTTTAATAATATGTTAATAGCCTCATGGGAATTTTTACAGTTCATTTTTTTTAATTAACTTTTCATGCTGGAATTCAAGCCAACTCAAGATCAAGCCAGTATGAATCGAGTCAGCTCAAATAGATTAAAAACCAATTCACCATTTGATTTCAAGCCATCAAAATTTCCATTGATATGATTTCGAGACATACTTAGCTTGGTTCAAAATCAGAGTATTCATAGCATAATATGTTCTTCTCTGTGGCTTATTGCACTGATCATATGAAATGTTAGAAGATTGTACAAAACAATACCATGAACATCTATATTGGAGAGAAAAACAATATAGAATTTAAAGAAGTTAAAAAAAATAATTTGGATAGGTCACGAATAACAAAAAAGTACAAGACATTGATAATAATGCAATGTTGAAAAAGCACACAAAACAAGGTCAGTACTTAATGTAACGGTAAGATGAATTGAATAATGTTTATGAAACTTACCTCAAATTCTTATGATAAGGTTAATGGTGACAACAATAAATGAAGTGTAAGAAATTGTAGAATATAAAAAAGCCATATCAAGTCAAAATGTATTTCATTTAAAAAACAATAATGCTCGAGAAGTAATGATTTTAGATCAAGAACTTAGATTTAAAGAAATGCATGCTCAGCTCTAATGCCATCAAATTTGTTTTTCATTTACACAATAAATTAGCTCTCTAAAAAAGCAGAGAAGACCTGGCCGCTCTGTTTACAATAGTTGAGTATTTAATGGTCAACATGAACTATTATGCATCATCTGCAGCCCCAACAATTTTTATCCCAAAAGATAATAATTTCTGCCATGCCTAGAACAGCTAACCAGTAATTCAAAAATCAGAAGAATCATATTCACAAATCTATTACTGCCTAATTTCATCATCTTTCACGTCCAGAAAGCTCCACAGCCCTCAAATAAAGTTCCACGTAGAAATCAATACAAAAAGATGGTGGTAGTTGATATCAGACCAATTCCACTGTCTCACATAAAATAGGGAATGCAAGAGGCCCGTGACTCATGAAATCTTTCATAAATAGAGTATCGAGAGGATAAGAAACAGAAAAAAAAATGCTCCTCCTGAATATTGTTTTTACTAAAGCTGCAAGTTTATCTCCTAGTTTATAAGATACAACTTATGAAGCCAGCTTTACACAGATATCTCAGAGTATGTTGCAAAAAAGGTGGCATATTAACGCATTGCAATTGACTTTTCAAGGCTAATCATACAGTACTAAACGGTCATTAAGTTACTAGCAATCTTTAAAGGGACAACGCCAGAATTATTAGGATGGAAAATCACCAAACGTATGGGCACGAAAAGCAAGGTACTAAACGGTCTTTAAGTTGCTAGGAATCTCCACAATTTGGTATGAAAATAAGACTGAATAAAAATAAGCAAGAGTACTAAATGTCTAGGCACAACACCACAATTTGGCAGAAAAAACAGACTGAATAGAAATAAGCAAAAGTGGAAGATAAAGTCAAAAGAATGGGAAATCACCAAACGTTCTCTTTCAGATGGCTTCCCAGCAAAACAGCTTGCTTTTATTCTTTTTACAGCCACATCAGAGCCTCTCCATTTGCTATGGTACACTGCTCCGTAAGTACCTGAACCCAACTGTTTGATTTCTTCTAAGTCGTCATTTTGAATAGTCTGCAGGAATATTAATCAGAATAAAAATGAGAAATAGATGTTTGATATTGATGAGTGTAACAAAATAGACAAAAACCTGTAACCCTTTAGCCAACGCTTCAGTTTCCGCTGCTGTAGGTTCGATTCTTGGAAAAATCTTGGTTTCATCATCTTCATCAGATTCAACTGCCCCTTCAGCATGCACATTCTGCTGATCAAAAGGTTCAGAAAGAAACTAGATGGAAGCATACCATCATTGTGAACAAAGTTTAAGCCCTTACCCCTTGCTCTAGCTCACTCAAAGGAGGTTCCTCAGCATTTTCAACAGTTAAAACATCAGCAGTGTCTCTTTCAGCCACAGCCTTTACCACTTCAGCACCTTCTACTGCCACTCTCTTGGCAGAAGCAATCAACTCGGGTAATAATTCTAAACTTTCTACTCTGGCATCAGCATTAGCATTTACAATGGTAGCCTTAGCATCAGAGTCACCAACTTCAGCAGTATCAGAATTCTTCTCAACCAATTTTGCCAAAGCTCCATCATTCTCCAAAATCTCAACATTGCCATCTTTGGGCACATAAGTGGGTGTAATTTGGTATCCATTAGGCATGATTGAAGCCGGAATTGATAGGCATGCATCATAAGTAGCATCAGTTGGAATTACATTACTATTTTCTCTAAAACCATGCTCATTATGAGAGGCTGATGCAGCAGGTTTCTGTAAAAAATGTCCATTTCGTACAGCCCAAGAACTCTGAGCTTTAACATCCATCCCAAGGCCTGTAATATTAGGGTGTGTATCCTGATAACCATGCACAGGGCCCGAGCTCATTGTACCATTTGACGCCATCAATCCAGGCAACTCATAAGAAGCTCCAGGACCTGGTGGAACTTGCACTTTTCTCTGTATAAGAAGTGGAGGCAAATTATGCTGAAGCTGGTAGAAGTTATCCTCTCCATAAACAGAAGGATAGTTGCCATAGCAGACTCCATTGTCTTCAAAACCATCAACATGCATATGAGGAATAGCTCTATCTGTTTGTTGAGCCTGATCCACTTCATTTGCTTCATAAAAATTTCCATGTCCATAAGGAGAATTGACAGCATTCACATCAACAGTATAGTGCTCCCCTACTCTTCCAGGTTTGGGTAAGTGAACTCGTGGATCATCCATCCTCAGATTATTGTGATGAGGGTGAAGAATCCAGTTCCCATCATGCCTTTGAGAGTCCTCTATAAAGACTCCATGGTCCACTCTCCTGTCGTGGTTCAAAATATAAGGGTCTCTGCCATGGTAGCAATCAGCACATGCATTGTACTGATCGAACTGATGCTGACCATGCATAAATCGAGAATCAGGAAACCATGAATTTGGCATAGGTGTTTGCCCTCTCTTAAGAACCATGTGGCTATGCTCACACGTGGCATTTCCCTCATAGGTGTTCTGGGGATAACCGAGATGAATAGGAAAGCCAGATTTCTCTTGAACATTGGTTCCAGGGGGCAGCCAGATCATATTCTCCATTGCTGGAGTAGACTGATGCTCGATTTGGATTGCACTATGATCAGTGAATTCCCCAATTCCAAAGTGATGGTATCTTACAGATGATGGTGAGCACGGGTATTCTCTGTGATCCCCATAATACGCAGGAGAGAAGTATGCAGGGCTCCATGGGGTATCTACTTCCCCGTATTTCTGCCCATGAGAATGATAGTGCGAGCAATGGCTCAAGAACTGGTCGGCAAAATCCATTTGCGATAGAGATTTTACATCGGTCAAGCTATTGAGGGCATCCACATACCTCCTCTCCGTCTCCCTTTCATCAGCATCCAAATGGGCGGCAGCGATAGCTTCGTCTGCGTCGGGAAACTGAGAGAACAGAAAGATTCTGAGGCGAGTCAGTCCATCCCCGGTGGTACTGAGCTTCTCGTATTCTTCCATCATGTTCATCACATCGTCATCATTCACCACAGAGACCAATGCATCGAGATCCTCCTCCGGCTGTTGATACTTTATCACGGACGTCTCTTCAAATATCTCACGCATCCGAGCCAGGAGGTCCTCGTAGGAGACGTCGAGGGGGACGGTAACAATTCGAGTCTCGCCCCCAACGTAACGTAGTTTACCGTCAAGCGGGCGAGGGAGTCTACAGCCGCCAAAGCTGCAGAGGAACTTGGCACGGGAGCCGCGCTCATCGCCGGAACCCGGAGATGGAGCGGCAGGGGAGTCCATGGAGCCGGCAACAGCCCCGGAGGAGCAAAGGAATTCTTCTGGAAGAGAACCCTCAGCTCCTAAATTGCACATGGGAATCGAATCAGAGAAGGATGGCGGTGGAAGCCATGGACGCTTCTCTCCAAATGGACCTGTTGGTGAGTATCAGAATTTCGCCTGGGGAATGATTCCCAAACTGTGCCAAATAATTCTTGCTTTCCCACTTCAAATCCCGCAATGAGAATCTCGTGTCCCGGATAACGAGTTATGACTGCACCTCCACGCCGATCACCTCTGTCGGATCAAAAATAAAGGAATTGGAGGCAGGAGCGTGAAAGGGGTGAGAGAAGAAAGGGGAGAGAGGAAGACATGGCAATTATTACTGTTATTGCGGACATTAATGGCAGGAGCGGGTTCTGCCTCTTCTTCCTTCTGCTCTCGTGTTTGGGAAAGCTCGGGGGAAGAGCGAATCACGGAAGAGCTGGATATAAAGGAGGATATGCCCTGCTGATACCACGACAGCTATGGCAGACATCGTCTCCTTGCGGAGGAGCGTTTTGCTGAATTTGATGTTCAATGTAGGTTTCAAACGCTACGCCGCTATTAAATAAAATTAAATAAATAAATAAATTGCGGATTAAATTATCAAATAATGTTTCATCTCACTTAAACAAAGAAAACAATGAATGAATAATTTTATGTACATAAAATATGCAATAAAATGTTATATAAATGTATTTTTATATAATTTTTTATTAATTAAATTATAAAGGAGCATTTACATACATGCGGCTTACTTTTTATATGTACGTAGATCAAAAAATGAGTTTTCTCAAGAAAGAAAAACCCGTTATTTAATGGGCCTAATGACTCGATCTTACCGATCATACACTTAATAATGGGCCCATACCAATAATGCTTATTAGTCGTGCATTTGGAAATGACTAGTTATAGAACTTCATGTTGCTCAAAAGGACCCCACGAGTATCTCTAAAGCTCGTCTGTCTTCACTCGAGTTCCTCTGACCGGGTTCGTTGAACTTGGATATTCGAGCAAGTTTCTTCAGTTGAGCATGTTCACATTTCTGAGCTCTTCTTCTTAGCTCGCATGTACTAATTCAATCCTTCTACCAATCTCGTTGATATCGATGAACAATTTAATGAGACAAAAGGAAGAGAACTTCGGTCCATCATCGGGTGTCTATCAAATTGTTGACCATCTGACATTAATGTAAAAGACCTTATCAATGATGAATCTATTGAAGATTTGTATACGATATGCCACCAACAAATTTTCATCATTTGACACGAATCTTGAGGCATGACACGGATCTCAATGCAATCTTTTGAGCAAGAAACATTCAAACTTCAATTAAGAGTCATCCAGAGTTCTGATTTCACTAAACTTATAGTCAAACTGACCAGCTCAATGAGACGGACTCAATGATATCAAAGTTAGTGAAACATTCAAACTTCAATTAAGAGTCATCCAGAGTTCTGCACGAATCTTGAGGCATGACACGGATCTCAATGCAATCTTTTGAGCAAGAAACATTCAAACTACAATTAAGAGTCATCCATAGCTCTAATTTCACTAAACTTATAGTCAAACTGACCAGCTCAATGAGACGGACTCAATGATATCAAAGTTAGTCCAATCTGAGTCAAATCAAGCTCAGATCAAGTGATTAAATTATTCTTGGAAGATTTCCGAACACATTTGAAAGATCAAATTTGAAATATAAAAAGAATGGCGAATACAGCGAGTTTATAGTTGAATCGAGCGACTCGACAAGATGAATTCAACGAGCCCAAGATTTCTCAATTTTGACATCGTTAAGGCACTCAAATGTCCATCAAACATCATCCGATCGAAGGAAGCTCTCCGGACCGTCCGATTAAAATTGTTCATATTCATGCATTAATTGCACCCAAAACACTATAAATAGAGCTCCATCCTTCACATGAGGGGAGAGGCTTGGGAGAGAGTTTGAGGCTTTGAGAAGGAGCTCAAGTCCAACATCATCCTTGCCATTGTCGATCGTCGTCGACCACCACCAACAGTTAGTGACCACTGTAGACCTCCGTAAACCACCGCCGGCCATCGCAAACCACCGTCGATTCCCGCTGACCTCCGTCGACCGTCCTCAACTGCCATTGACCACCGTCAATCCTCGCCGACTACCGCTGATGGGACACTGTCAGGCGACACTGTAATATGAAAATTTAGTAACACTTTCCCTTATGTGGGACAAGGGGTTGTTGTAATCATCAACATATATTGACTTTTTATAACTGGGACAGACCCGTGATTTTTTCCCTTTACGAGTTTTTCACGTAAAAAACTTATGGTGTTATCACTGGTTGTTTCACTTTCATCTGAGTGTGTGTTGAATCCTCGTGCAACGCTAAGAAGATAATTCATTACTCTACCGCCGCTAGTTTTCTAGCACACATTAGTTTGACGTCGTCTGTGGGAAAGTTTCAATCCCACAACTAAAGTACTTAAGTGGTTAACTATATGGCCACCAAACATAGTATTCGTGACAACGAAGCATTCTGCTCCAAAATCTATCGTTCCAGAGAGCAGTCACGAAGCCAAGGGCATCATGCTTCTTCATCTTCCCGCCCTGGAAGACGATATCCCGCCAACGAAGGTGTTTCGGGTCCTATTGAAGATCAAATACGTAGAATGAAAGAGTCTCAACTAGAGATCCTACAACTCCTACGAGGGGTTCAATAGTTGTTGCCTACACCATTGGATCCACGACGTACGAGAAACATACCGCTCGGAGGAACTCGTACCGGTCCACCTCCTCAAGAAGGAACAATTCCTCTATTAGGTCATGATGTTGACCTCCTAGATACCGCAAGTTCCACTCATCCATCTCGCGCAGCTCACCCGACATCGCCACATTTTCTTGCAATTCCAGATAATATAATTCATAACGAACTACGAGGACTCATCCAAGAAGAGTTCTCTCTAGAAAATAAAGAATCTCTTCTACACTCACCGTAACATCTATGAATCTTCTCCTATAGCGGATGCAGTCCTCCATCACCCCATCCCAACAGGCTTCAAGCTTCCGAACATCGATACATATGAAGGGATAACCGACCCTTACGAGCATATTGATCATTATTAAACCATCATGCACATTCAGCGTGCCTCTGATGCGCTTCTGTGTCAAGAGTTCCCGGCTACTCTTAAAGGACAAGCTCAAACCTGGTTCTACTCTCTGTTAGGGGGCACTGTAAACACCTTTAACGAGCTTGTCAAATTGTTCGCGAAGCAGTTCATCGCAAATAAAAATATCATCAAGGATTAATCCCATCTCCCGGGAATTCATCAGACTGAAAGAGAGCCGCTCAATGACTACTTTCGCAGTTTTTCTGCTGAAGCCCGTCAGATCCCAGGGGTAGATCCAGATTTACTAAGGGGAGTCTTCCTTGGGGGGCTCTGCCCATGATCATTTCACTCATCACTGATGCGTGAGACAGTTCATTCTTATGCCGACCTTGTCCACCGTGTTGAGGCCCAAATCACTGCGGATGAGGCTATCAACGCACATAAAGAGCAGTTTGAGAAATTTGGGGGAAAGCACAAGAATAACACTGGAGATGATAATCAATCTTTGCAACGGAGGAATCACGACCTCCTTCCTCAGCCTGCAGGCCAACGAACTGAATATCAACCTAAGAAAGAGTATACACCACTCAACACGTCACGTGCTAACATCTTGATGGTCATCAAAGATGAGCTAGCTGTTAAGTGGCCTCACCCCTAAAAACTAACTCGGGAAATCAAGAACAATACTGTCATTTTCATCGAAGTCGTGGTCATACCACTAAGGCATGTAAGCTCCTTAGAGAAGAAATTGAAAGGTTGATCCAACAGGGATATCTCGATCGATTTATACAAAATAAATTAGCTGGTAGCGATAATGCTCATACCGGGGGGGCAACAAACACAAAGACAACAACATGGGAGTCACTCAGCCGTGACCGAAATTCAAACAATTGCGGAGGCCCATTGCTGAATGATCAAGTCCTTGTCATTGTACCTGTTGAACCAATGTAGAAGAAATTGTGCCTCGAGCCTATAACTTTTTATGATTCCAATTTGGAAGGAGTTCGAGTCCCCCATCAAGATCCTCTTGTCATTAGCACAGGAATTGGAGAGTCCTTCTATAATGTAAAGAGAATTATAATGGACAATGGGAGCTCTGTCGATGTCTTGTTCTATTGAACTTTCCTTAGTTTGTGATTGACAAGGGAAATGCTTCAATCTGCATCCGGATCATTATATGATTTTGATAATCGACCAGTGAGGGTCGATGGAACAATAAATCTCCCTGTTATCTTGGGAGATTTTCCTCGACAGATAACCCACTCAGTCCAGTACATTATTGTCAAATCAGAATCGACATATAATGTCATCTTTGGGAGACCACTACAATCAATCTTTAGCATCGTGACTTCTGTAAATAACACACTTGAAGATCAAGTTTCCAACCCCAGCAGGGATCGGCATCATGCGAGGTGATCAATTGAAAACACAATCATGCTACCTTAGACAAGTTCAGCCACGCCCGTCAATGACACTTAGCATTAAGAACTTCGATCTTCAAGATGAAGATGTATCTCAACGGGCTTCTCTTGTGGAAGACTTGGTTCACATCCCACTCTTATCCCACTCTTTGACGAACATCCCTCGAGAATAGTGCAGCTTGGTTCCCTACTCTCCGATAAGCAAAGGTCGGAGTATGTAAGAGTATATAGATCTTCTCCAAATGAACCAAGACATTTTTGCATGGACCCGACCGACATGTCTGGAGTTGACCCTGAAATAATCATGCACTCTTTAAAAATAGATCCAACCTTTAAACCGATCATCCAAAAGAAGCGCAATTTTGCCTCAGATCGCTTACAAAATATTGAACAAGAAGTCAACAAGCTTCTTGAAGCAAAGTTCATACAAGAGGTACATCATCATGCATGGCTAGCCAATATCGACATGGTGAAAAAATCTAGTGGTTCATGAAGAATGTTTGTCAACTATACAGACCTCAACAAAGCTTGTCCAAAAGATAGTTTTCCCCTCCCGCGCATAGATCAACACGTCGATGCCATGTCTGGACATCAGATGCTAAGCTTTATGGATGTATACTTAGGATATAATCAAATAAGGATGAACCCAATATATGAGGAGGCCACCTTTTTTAGACAGATAAGGGCTTATATTGTTATCAGGTTATGTTATTCGGGTTAAAAAATACTGGTGCAAATTATCAAAGACTCATGAACAAGGTCTTCAAAAATATTCTCGGGCGTACAATGGAGGTTTATATTGATGACATGTTAGTAAAAAGCTTGGAAGCATACCAACACATTTCTCATCTGGAGGAGTGTTTCTAATACCTTTGTCAGTATAATTTACGACTCAACCCGACTAAATGTGCTTTCAGAGTCACATCAGGAAAGTTTATGGGATTCATGGTTACCCAAAGTGGAATTGAGGCAAACCCAGAAAAAATCAAGGCACTGAGAGATATGGTGCCCCCAA